AGTAAAATCAACTGAAAAATTAAACTTCATGAAAATCAAAACACTTCAGTTGTTTGACATATCACAGCCTGATCGCAGCTTAACTTTTGGAGGATCTGTGAACACACCTGGAGCCAAGCTGTAAGGAAACAGTGACAATAGCCTGGAGAATCCAGGTCCAAAATGGCAGGAACAACCTATGGAGAATAGAGCCTCCTCAGATTTACTTCAGAACCCCCTGTTCCCTGGGCTTTGGCCACATGCTCAAACAGAAAAAAGCCTTGGTCGCCATCCTTGCCCTTTCTCCTGACACCACCAGCTGGCTCAGGGTGGGCTCTGGTATGGCCTCCATCTTGCTTGCTGTGAGAGTAGTGGCAGCTACTCTAACCCAACCGGACCCATGGAGGGTGGTTCCAGCTTCACTCATGGCTACCTTGAGGGACTGGTTAACATGTCTGGACATGGGGAAGACTGGGCCAATGAAAGGTAGACTGGAAGTAGCCAACAGATAACTTCCTCTCCATTCCTCCTCTGCAGACTGTTTTGAGGGCTTCTTGGAAGCAGTCACATACGAACAATGAGATGGGTTCTCTTGTGAAGATTTGCTATTTCGGGCACAACCTATATTCGTTTTCCCTCCTTCCTTGACTCATTTCCCCTTTTCCTTCACTCTGGATGCCCTGACGCTGTGTCTCCCAATACCTAACAGGACATTCTTAATCAGCTGTGCCTCATGCTTTGTTTCCACAGGCTAAGACACAATGTAATAAAACCCTATGAGAAAGTCAGTAATGTTATTATATTCTCATTTTACAATCAAGAAAACTGAGGTCCAGGGAGGTTAGGTAACTTGGACAAGATTCTGCAGCCAGTAACTGCAGGATTTGAACTCTGACTCCAAAGCCCATGCTCTCAGCAGCTCGGCTGTTCTGCCTGAGGGAGCTTGGTCTGGCTGCCTGTCAGCTGCTTCTTCCTAGACCTTGATTCTGAAGACGAAATATTGCCTTCATTATGAGTTCTGGCACGTCCTGAGTCCCTGTTTCATAGGAGATTAGTTGTGGGACTTTTTCATTGTGTTTGTGCTGTGAAAACATATCTGAGACAGTTTGGATGAGGAGCAGTTGTAAGACAAAGCATATTAGAAATAGGAACTCGAGCCCTTCTTGACAGCTGGGTAGACAGATACATTCAGCAAAGGGAACGTTTGTGACCGGGACAAGATTGTTCTTCAGGCTGTGATGTGAACCAGGGACCTTCAGATTTCAACTTGCCTGTCACTAGACAGAAAGGACAGTGTGAACTCCCCCTCGTATTCCCCGCCTGCTGTTAGCATGACAGGTATGTCTTTGATTGCTAAAGGATGGCCAATTCCGTTACACTGATGATATATAACAGGGAGGAAGCATTTTCTTCTATGCCTGTGCACTAAGAAAATAACATATTCAGGTATTCAGTAAAAAGTTTTAAAAAGTCAGCTGTGGCTTCACAGCAAGAAGGAGACTAATTTTTGAAGTTTGAAAGCATCTTTATGAGGAAGAAGGTGGAAAGACAATTAATATTGATTCTATAGTTCAATAAACCCTTATGAATGATCTACTTTATAACTTATGTGATAGACCTGGGAATTCAAAGGTGCATAAGATAGGATTCCTCATAGGGTGAAGTACTGTCTGGGTTTGCCTGGGGCTGCGGGGTCCCCCAGGATGCAGGACTTCCAGTGCTAAAACTGGGGAGAGTCCTCGGCAAGTTGAAATGAGTTGATTACTCTACCTTGCTGCAAGGAGCTCACAGGCTAAAAAGGAAGGCAGTTATGCCTGTGTATGTTGCTATGAAATAGTGTGCTATGTGAAATTATGGAATAATAATAATAATAATAATAATAATCATAGCTTTTAATTCTATAGCACTCTCCATGAGCCAGGAACTATTTAGAATAATGCCTTTATATGTATCAGCTCACTGAATCCCATAATAGCCCTGTGAAAAAAGGACTACTGTCATCCCCATTTTATGTAGTCAGAAACTAATGCACTAGTAAGGGGCAGAGCTGGGATTCAAACCCAGGCAACATGGGTCTGTAGCTGAGATCTTCACCTCTAAACAATGCTTTCAAATGCCCTAGGCAACAAAATCGCATGGAGGGGTGAGTGATGAACTTTGTGGGTGACAGGAGGTAGTCATGGGAGGAGGGGGTGTAGGGAAATGAGTTAGAGAAGGCGGACCCTGAACAGTGAATGAGGAATCAACTAGCAGGAAGGAAAGAAAAGGGCATCCAGGTGTAAGAGCTCCAGGTTAGGACATAGAGATGTGAAATGCCATTGTGTTGCTGGTAGGTCGGTGTTCGCAGTGGTACGTTTCATCCACCATCCCAGGGCCGTGGGAAAGACGCCTGGAGAAGTTGCAGGGCCAGTCCATGAGGAGCTGTGCCTGCCATGAGGAGGATACAGAATTCAACTTGTTCACCACAGGGAAGCACTAGAGAACTTTAAGGGAAAGCTGAGTATGTGTTTTTAGAGAATGACTCTGGTAGCATCCAGAGGGTGATGTGAAGGGGAGATGGGTATGGTGGAACCAGTGACAGGGTACAGCCAGTATGAAGCCTCTTGAAAAAGCCCCTGTGACTTCAACTACAGGATATGACAATGGGGATGGGTAGGGCTGGACAAATTAACAAAATGAAAGAAGTAGAAAGGACCAAACTTTGTTAGTGATTGGATGGAGGGGCTAAAGGAATCAGGAAGCCTGAGAACACCTGTGAGCTTGGCTTGGTTGACCAGGTGTATAATGTTCCACCAATAATTGGGGGGGAAAAAGAAATATAGGATGGAGAGTGGATTTAAAAGGGGAAAGATAGTGAGTTCAGCTTTCTACAATGGGACACTCAGGTTCTAGAGGAAATTTAGATGGGATTGCCTAATCCAGGCATTCTGTAAAAAGAAGAAAACAGCTTGTCCTAAAGGCTACCTACTTTTCTGATCAAGAGTGAAACCATAAGAGGGACGTTCTTGGAGGAAGGTATGAAATAAACAGAAAGCAAAAGAATTAATATAATATTAATGCAACATTCTTTGGGTTTCCCCTGAGATGGGAAACATTTAATACATTCATTTATGATAAGGTAACAGTGGCTTAATTTATTATTTCTCCTAGGAATATTTGTAGTTTATAAAAGACAATAATATATAACTGAATTCTTGACGAAAGAATTTCAGGTACCCTAATCCTAGATAAGGGACAATTCTCCCTTAATAAGGGATAACGAGAAAGCTTTAAGTAGTATCTCATGGATACATTCATTGAGCTTAGCACGTCTTCTTTGAAACAGTCAGGAACAGGAGGAATCGAGATCCAGGCAGATTAAGGCACTTTCCCAAAGGCACATGCCTAGCCTGGGAGCCAGCACAAGTGCCCTGTTATTCTGACCTCTCTAACCACTAGGCAATTCTGTCTCCTCCCTGTTAGGATGCCATCATTTGTGAAACAGCCAGATCATGGGAGAATGACCCTGCTCTTGTGATTGAGTGGCCTGGGGATGCTTTCTACTAGGCAAAAATGTCACCCATCTCTCCGATTTCCTAACTTTGTTTTTTATTCGGAGAAACATGCTGCTCACTATTCCAACATCATCCATCTTTGTCAGCACGCAAGGCCATTTTATCTGAACAGCCAGCGATATACTGCAGATAGAGTGCACCAAAGACATTAAACTCTATATGACATTTATAGGGACTCTGAGCTCACCGAAGGTGGATTGATGCTGCCATAAAGTCCTGCAGTAGCGAGACAAACAAA